AGCCTATAGGCCTAATAGATACGAATATTGAAGCGGCTCAGATGTAGCCTAATGGCTTAATACTAGGTAGATGAATCGATTGCACATGTGAAAGTGATGTCAATATGTAGCCTAATTTATTGATTATATAATCTCCGGTTTCATAAAAAAAAAATCCTTACTTCACTTGTTAAAACATTGCAAACTTTTTAGGAAATCTTCATTCTATGTTTAGCTGAGATTTTCTGTGTGTAAATGTCACGGATTCTGCCGAGACTGCCCTTCCTTCTGGCTCGGGCAGGCTTCGGCGTTCGTCGTCACCGGAGTACTAGCTGCTGCCGCTCTATGTTATATGTTTCTATGTTCACTTAATTGTTGTCTGTTGTTGCACACCTGTTCCCCATTATGTTAGTTTGTCTGCCTATTTAACCTGTTCACGTCCACTGTTTGGTGTTCGTGTTTATTGTATGGTACGAGTGTCATTATTGTGAGCGGGTTTTGCTCCTCCTTTGATGTTTTGGAGGATTTTCCTTGTATTTCTTTACTACTCAGTCACCGCTTCGCCATCTGGGTCCAGTGGGATTCGGCTCTCGCTCCCGAGGGCTTATGACGGAACACCTGCCGGGTGCCAGGGATTTCTCCTCCAGGTCGAGCTGTACCCGGCCACCATTCACGTGTCCGCCCTCATCTCCTGTCTATCGGGGAAGGCGCTGGAATGGGCCAACGCCGAGTGGGGAGGAATAGACTCACACGTCACCCTCCTCTGGTCATCCTGGCATCGGTCGGACAGTGACCTGTCTTAGTGGGAAGTACTGGTGGCCCACCTTAGCCAAGGACGTGAGGGTTTATGTTTCTTCCTGCTCGGTGTGCGCCCAGTGTAAGGCTGCTAGACACCTGCCTAGAGGGAAATTACAACCCCTACCCGTTCCACAACGACCGTGGTCCCACCTATCGGTGGATTTTATGACCGATCTTCCTCCCTCAAGGGGCAACACAACCATCCTGGTCGTTGTGGAGCGGTTTTCTAAGTCCTGTCGCCTCCTTCCTCTGTCCGGACTCCCTACGGCCCTACAAACTGCCGAGGCACTGTTTACACACGTCTTCCGGCACTGCGGGGTGCCTGAGGATATAGCGTCTGATCGGGGTCCCCAGTTCACCTCAAGGGTGTGGAGGGCGTTCATGGAACGGTTGGGGATCTCGGTTAGCCTTACCTCAGGTTTTCACCCCGAGAGTAACGGGCAGGTGGAGAGAATTAACCAGGAGGTGGGTAGGTTTCTGAGGTCGTATTGCCAGGACCGGTGAGGGGAGTGGTCGGTTTTCCTACCCTGGGCAGAGATGGCTATAAACTCCAACCGCCACTCCTCAACTGACCTCACACGATTCCAGTGTGTGTTAGGTTATCAGCCGGCCCTGGTACCGTGGCATCAGAGCCAGATCGAGGTACCTGCGGTGGGCGAGTGGGTTTGGCGCTCGCAGGACACCTGGGACGCTACACATGAACGCCTGCAGCGGGCCAGCAGGCGTCAGAAGGCGAGCACTGACCGCTACCGCAGTGAAGCTCCAGTGTATGCACCGGGGGACCGGGTCTGGCTCTCGACCCGAAACCTGCCCCTTCGCCTGCCCTGCCGGAAGTTGGGTAGGCGGTTTGTGGGCCCATTTAAAGTCCTGAGGAGATTGAACGAGGTACTGTATGTTATAGGTTATAACTTCCTGTTAATTATCGTATTAACCCCTCGTTCCATGTGTCTCTCCTCAGGCCGGTGGTAGCTGGTCCACTCCAGGAATCTGAGATACGGGAGGGTCGTCCGCCCCCACTGGACATCGAGGGGGCACCGGCGTACTCGGTCCGTTCCATCCTGGATTCGAGGCGTCGGGTGGGGGGCCTGCAGTATCTCGTGGAGTGGGAGGGGTACGGTCCGGAGGAGCGGTGCTGAGTTCCTAGGAGGGATATCCTCGATCAAATCAAATCAAATCAAATCAAATTTTATTGGTCACATACGCCGAATACAACAGGTGCAGACATTACAGTGAAATGCTTACTTACAGCCCTTAACCAACAGTGCATTTATTTTAAACAAAAAAAGTAAGAATAAAACAACAACAAAAAAAGTGTTGAGAAAAAAAGAGCAGAAGTAAAATAAAGTGACAGTAGGGAGGCTATATATACAGGGGGGTACCGTTGCAGAGTCAATGTGCGGGGGAAACCGGCTAGTTGAGGTAGTTGAGGTAATATGTACATGTGGGTAGAGTTAAAGTGACTATGCATAAATACTTAACAGAGTAGCAGCAGCGTAAAAATGATGGGGTGGGGGGGCAGTGCAAATAGTCCGGGTAGCCATGATTAGCTGTTCAGGAGTCTTATGGCTTGGGGGTAGAAGCTGTTGAGAAGTCTTTTGGACCTAGACTTGGCACTCCGGTACCGCTTGCCGTGCGGTAGCAGAGAGAACAGTCTATGACTAGGGTGGCTGGAGTCTTTGACAATTTTGAGGTCCTTCCTCTGACACCGCCTGGTATAGAGGTCCTGGATGGCAGGAAGCTTTGCCCCAGTGATGTACTGGGCCGTACGCACTACCCTCTGTAGTGCCTTGCGGTCAGAGGCCAAGCAGTTGCCATACCAGGCGGTGATGCAACCAGTCAGGATGCTCTCGATGGTGCAGCTGTATAATTTTTTGAGGATCTGAGGACCCATGCCAAATCTTTTTAGTCTCCTGAGGGGGAATAGGCTTTGTCGTGCCCTCTTCACGACTGTCTTGGTGTGTTTGGACCATGATAGTTCGTTGGTGATGTGGACACCAAGGAACTTGAAGAACCATCCCACTCGCTCCGCGCCGCGTCCTCCTGGCTGTCACGGATTCTGCTGAGACTGCCCTTCCTTCTGGCTCGGGCAGGCGTCGGCGTTCGTCGTCACCGGAGTACTAGCTGCTGCCGCTCTATGTTATATGTTTCTATGTTCACTTGATTGTTGTCTGTTGTTGCACACCTGTTCCCCATTATGTTAGTTTGTCTGTCTATTTAACCTGTTCACGTCCACTGTTTGGTGTGCGTGTTTATTGTATGGTACTAGTGTCATTATTGTGAGCGGGTTTTGCTCCTCCTTTGTTGTTTTTCTTGTATTTCTTTACTACTCAGTAAAGTGGTTCTTCATCTCATTCTGTGTCCTGCGCTTGACTCTGGCCTACCGCATTCCACCGACATTCGTGACAGTAAATTGACGCGGGAGGGCAAACGGTGATCTAATGAAGCACTTAGCTGTTCCACAAGTGGTCTGAGACAGGCATTAGAATACAAGCGTTTTCAAGTGCAACGTTAATAAAGACGGTTTTGGGAAATGGCTCGGAAATTTTAAGATGCTCTTATGAAGGTCCTAACAATGAATTTAGAATTAAGATGCTTTTGGGGTGTCTGTTTGTGTGACCAACTTGTTGTCTGTTTTGCTAAGCAGCGTCTCTCCCACTGGATTGTGGAGGCTATTTCTCTGGCATATGACAGCAAAAGGCAGGGATTGTGTACGTGCCCACTCCACCATGTGTCTGGCGGCATCTTGTTGTGTAGAGGGTTGCCTGATGGAGTTATTTGTGCTGCACCGAGTTGGGCAACACCACACTTGTGAGGTTTTATTGCTTGGATTTCACTGCCCCTAGTGTAGCCCACAGTGTGCTTACGACTGGGGCAGGAGAGGGTCATTAGGCACCGCACAGATTGCGTAATACCAGGTACCAACCTGTTGGGTTGGAACTCTGTGTGGTCTGCCTTGGGCCATTTCATTTGGTGTCCACTGGGGTCGGCTTAGGGCTTGATTTCATGTCCCCATAGCTGTTGTACCGAGTTGATCTACTGAAAGGGAACGTACAGATATTACTATAACTACTGTTCCATGAAGGAGGAAAACGAGGCACAACACCTGTTTGGCCCCGTGCCGCCCAGTTCTGGGCTCGGTGAAGAGTGGTACTGAATTGAAGGAATGAATCAGTGCCTCAGGTTTATCACCTGTGGAGGGTGGGGCTTCCGGTGAGGCATTAGAGGGTGCTAGTACGCGAACTCCCCCATAGCTGTGTTGTACCTTGTTTCCCTCTTTCAGGGAACAGTAGTATGTTTTTTTCCCCTACTTAGTATTACACTAGAAAATCTAAATGCCAAAGAAGTGGACCACAAGGTTATTCTTTGTGAGTCAGTTCATAAGCTACTGATATTTGTCATATAAATCCATTCATAAGCAGGATTTAAATGAGTCAGAATTGGGATGATAAAGTGCACAGTCATTCCTGGAACTATACCACTATGTCCCTAATCCCCTTTTTAAGCACATATTTTTGCTCAAAGGTTGGACTGCCAAAAGCATTTTGGTCTGTTCTCACATACAGTATACTTACTGTACAGTATGGCTACAGATACTGTAAAAGGTCTCCATGCCAAAACCCAACATGATCACTATTTAAAAATCAGAGTTTATTTTTGTTTGGCATGAACACATTTTATGGATTAATCGTAGGTCAAAAATGATCAGGCGATTCATTGATAACAAACAAAAATAAATCCATGTTTCGCTGCAGTAGAAACGTGCATTATATATATTTTGATTAATCAAAATGAGATTCATAGGGCAAAAAAACATGAACATCCACATGCAAATGAAAGTGTTACAATTGTATTGATTGATTCCAGCATACCATCTTTCCATGCAGTTTTTTCTTACAAATGCAATGTAAGGATAGAACAAGCTGATAAAAGTAAGGTAACAATGTGCCGAACATAGGAAAGACTCAATAGATGGGATAGCTGACAACATCACGAAAACGATGTGCGCGCTTCCATGGGGCAGAAGTCAGCGTGTTGTTGTGATTCTGGATGGCCAGATTGTTAGAAAGAATTACAAGAAACTGCCATGTGGGGCTTGTTATTGATACCATGTCTTGTTTTGAGGTGTTTTGACTGATGTCATGTCAATGCTCATATAGCTAAATTTAGCTAACTAGCCAACCAACAACTGTAGCGATGTATTTGAGAGACAACAAGTTCTCATTGTGCAAATGTATTTATGTTTTCAAGAGACTAAATATAGTTTAGATGTTGTCAACAATCCAAGTCCAACCCTGTCTGTTTTGCCCCATGGTTGCACGGGCGTCGGTTTGTTGCTAAACAACCAACCCCTCTATTACTGTGCCACAATAAATTAAATGTGTACAGTATAATATGTTTAAGGTCAGGTTACCAACTGTATAAAAAGGATGAATATATACAATGCCATTATTTGACATGGAAATCAAAGAAAACGTTCTGTACAAGAGTTGACATCAATGGGTGTACCTCTTTTGCAATGCATCAAGGTATTGTCCACTCACTGTCCTCCAGCAATGTGCTCTTTCAATATATCAGTATTAAATATAGGCTACAGACCCAAACAGGACCGTCATCCTGCACATTCATGTGTCTTTCCCATGTATGAGTTCAGTTAGTTTGAGAAAGTCGGCCTATGGGCTATACGGACCACATTGTATGTATTCAGTCCTGGTGCATCGAAGCCAGGGGACAGACCCCGCTTGTCAAACACATAAAAGTTAAAGAGCTGCCCGTCTTGGGCCTCAAGAGAGACAGAGGCGGTGCTGACCCGCAAGACACAGGGGTACTCTTTCTCAAACACCACCCTGAACACCCTGTCCACCAGGTAGTTCAGCTTTATTGTCCGATATGTCTCTGGGATCAGGTCCTCAATCTGGGGTCCAAACTGCTGCATGATCAGAACCCCATCTGCCCCAGCTTTGATCTCATAGAAGGTGATGTTTCCATAGGTGAAGAAGCCTATGTAAGGGTCTGGATTAGGGGGAGGGATGAGGATCTTCTTGGACTCCCGGAACGCCCTCTCCATGGCGGGTATTATGTGGCTGTAAGCCTTGGCCAACACATCCTGGTTTTGAGGTCTGGTGCCAGCCATCAGCACCACCAGGCCCAGCTTGAGCCTGGGCACCAGTGAGAAGGTGGCTGAGTAGCCGTCTAGGTCTCCGTCTTTACGCACCACCTCGTAGCCCAACTGCTCATTCACCTCCCATGGTGTGCCAGTGCGGTTGGCAAAGTAGTCCTTATCACAGCGGAACAGAGGGGTCAGCATGATCTTCAGGGTGTCGGGCTCCAGGAGCTTGCGATGGTAGGCCCCCAGCAGCATCATAGCCAGCTTGGCAAGGTCAGCGGCAGTGGAGAACATCTGGCCTGAGGGGCGGTACCAGCCCAGGTCATACAAAGGGGCTGGCTGGCCATTGGAGTAGACGCCCACAGCCATCTGGCTGTGGATCCCTGGGGTGATGTCGAAGCCTGTATCCTCCATCCCCAGCCGGTCCAGGATGTTATCATTGATCCAGCGCTGGTAGTCCATGCCCACCACCTTCTCAGCCATGACGTGGGCCAATAAGGAGAAGGCTAGGTTACTGTAGTGGCATCTGCAAAACACAGAGCAGCAGAGTGGGAAGTCATTCTGATAGGGCAGACTGCAGGGTTAATACAGCCCACAGGAGTGATGGAATTAAACACCTGAGCCGTCTATTTACATCCAAATGAGTGTAGCAAATATGTTCCATTATATTACACACAGCAAATATTGACAATGTTAACTGGCACAAGGACACGCACAACATTTGAATTACTATATTGCTCTTCTGATTTAGAGCGATGGGAATGACTAAGGTCTTACTTGGTGCCAGGGTCTGCAACGAGGACATCGTCTTGCAGCAGATTTACTGCAGTCTGTGTTTTCCCCTTCCACAGCAGGTTAGTGGCTCTAAGTCTTCTGGGTAGACCTGCAGTTGACAAAATACAAAATGTTTAGTGTTTACGTCTAAAGAAAAGCAAATACATTAATTTAGCTAGTATGACAAATGAAGCTCACGCCAATTTCAAATAATTTGAACTGAAATGGGGTCCTCAACTTTTATTCTATCATGTCATCTGCAGTGTATATCACTGATCATTTCATTTAATGTACAGCAGAAATCCATCAGTATCAAAGTCTGGTCTGAAACATCAAATACTCTCCTCAATGAATTATTGAGTTCAACCTTCATGCCTCAATTATCAAAGTGACATAATCAAATCAAACCTATGTTTGAAAGCAAGGTATTGTAGGGTGTCATATTGAAGTAACAGGCTTGGATTTTGTGGTGTAATATGCTAATTAAAATACATACTATTCTGTAGAAGGTGTATGTCACTTCACATTGGCCTGTATATTTGTGTAGATGATACCATTACCAAGGTTTTTTTCAATTCAGAGTGTCAACCATCAATAAGTGTGACTCATCGTCCCTCAGCACTTCACATGATCTATTTCTGATGATAAGCAGATGCAGTGACAATCTAAACAGTTTCTGTAATGTCAGAGGTGTTTACCACCTCAGAAGGAAATCTGGAAACCTGCTTAGAGGTTTAAGGGCTCTGACTAGAGTTTGCAGTTTGGTGGCATTTGAATTAAATCAATTAAAAATATCATAAACATCACATTAAAGTGGCTATTTTGGTCATAATATTCTGATACTGTTCAACACTGTAGCTAAGCACATTAGGCACACAACGGGTTTCCCCTCACAGTCGTGTAATGGGTCGGCATGACCTGGTTTCCAATCCCAGGTGGGATGTGGGGATGAGGTCCGTATCTCACCTGAGAGCTGGCTGGCCATCCTGCGCAGGGTGACAGAGGAGGAGCGGATCTGAACCTCTCCACTGTCCAGAAAGATCAGACCGTCTGTCACGTACTTGAGCTCAGAGTCCCGTGACTTGCCCAGAGGGTTTTTAATGGTGAAGTTCTCCACATATTTCTCCAGCGGGTCATCCAGAGAGGCAATCTTCCCATCCTCCCACAGCCTGTATAGCATCAGCGTTGGGAAGATCTTTGAAAGGCTGGCGATCCTGTAGGGCAGGAATCAAACAGGTATGTATTACTACTGTAAATCCCCCAATGCCTGCAAAAAGCTTTTAATGAAATTAACAAACACTATGGCACGCATGCACAAATTAATAGAGTACTATTCTTCTTTTCAGAGGATTAACTTATTGTAACATCCTTTCATTTTCACATGCACTCTCCAAAGCTTTCTACACTCAGGCTTTTGATGTCACATTGTTTTCTCTGCCTCATACCCCAGACATTCTTGCAACACCATCATTTTATACTCCATTAAATATTTAGGACTAACTTATTCCTTGCCACCCATTCTGAAACTAACTGCAGCTCTTTGGTAAGTGTTGCAGTCATTTCAGTCGCTGTGGAAGCTGACGTGTATAGTGTTGAGTCATCTGCATACATAGACACACTGGCTTTACTCAAAGCCAGTGGCATATCGTTAGTAAAGATTTAAAAAGTAAGGGGCCTAGACATCTGCCCTGGGGAATTCCTGATTCTACCTGGATTTTGTTGGAGAGGCTTCCATTAAAGAACACCCTCTGTGTTCCGTTAGACAGGTAACTCTTTATCCACAACATAACAGGGGGTGTAAAGCCATAACACATACGTTTTTCCAGCAACAGACTATGATCGATAATGTCAAAAGCTGCACTGAATTCTAACAAAACAGACCCCACAATCTTTTTTAAATACATTTCTCTCAGCCAATCATCAGTCATTTGTATAAGTGCTGTGCTTGATGAATGTCCTTCCCTATAAGCATGGTGAAAGTCTGTTGTCAATTTGTTTACTGTAAAATGGCAATTTGGACATTATTTGGAAGGGCACACACTTGTCTACATAAGGTCCCACAGTTGACAGTGCATGTCAGAGCAAAAACCAAGTCATGAGGTCGAAGGAATTGTCTGTAGAGCTCTGAGACAGGATTGTGTTGAGGCACAGATCTGGGGAAGGGTATCAAAACATTTCTGCAGCATTGAAGGTCCCCAAGAACACAGTGGCCTCCATCATCCTTAAATGGAAGAAGTTTGGAGCCACCAAGACTCTTCCTAGAGCTGGCCGCCTGGCCAAACTGAGCAATCAGGGGAGAAGGTCCTTGGTCAGGGAGGTGACCAAGAACCCGATGGTCACTCTGACAGAGCTCCAGAGCTCATACCCAAGAAGACTCGAGGCTGTGATAGCTGCTAAAGGTGCTTCAACAAAGTACTGAGTTAATGGTCTGAATATTTATGTAAATGTGATATTTCAGTTTTATATTTTTTATAAATTTGCACACAATGCTTTGTCATTATGGGGTACTGTGTGTAGATTGATGAGGGGGAAAAAAAACCATTTAATCCATTTTAGAAAAAGGCTGTAACGTAACGAAATGTGGAAAAAGTCAAGGGGTCTGAATACATTCCGAATGCACTGTCTCTACCACAAAAGGTTTAAAGGTAGACTCAACGAGATGACATTGCAGGCACAAAGCAAACACATAGGCTGTTTACACAGGCAGCCCAATTTAGATATTTTGCCAATTATTTGCATATCTGATACCTATATGATATTTTCCCTAATGTGTAAACAGCAAGAAAAATATTTTGCACTACTGATTTATACCACCTCCATATTAAGTTTCAATTTTTTTTGCACATGACCTGCCATTACCATGACAACCACCTCAAAAGTTAAAGGATCAGTAACAGGAAATTAACATTGCAAAAAGTACCACATTGTAGCAGCGTGAAGAGCACCCGTTCACATGCACAGATACTCTGTGTGACTGTGTGAGAGCGAAGTCTTGCATCGCACTCATTTAAATATCTTCGGAGCTGTTCGTTGCAGCGTCATCTCACTGAGTCTACCTTTAAGTAAAGCACTAAAGCAAAGTCACATGACTTTAACAGCTCTCAATTCATTTGGTAACAGTATATAAAAGTTGTTTTATATTTACTTTATTTTATTTTTTAAAATATTTTTTTCTTTTTTTTCTTTTCTTTTTTCTTTTTTTTTTTGTTGTTAAAAATAAATGCACTGTTGGTTAAGGGCTATAAGTAAGCATTTCACTGTAATGTCTGCACCTGTTGTATTCGGCGCATGTGACCAATAAAATTTGATTTGATTTTATTTTATTTGTAATGGTCACTCTAACTCTAAATTGACGTGTGACATCAATCCCTCTATCAAGAGCAGCAAGAAAGCTGCGACTGATAGGACATTCACATGCTCAGAGCACATAGTACGTCATACAATGTAATAGCGTTCTGATTGCAAGCTAATGCAATCGGACAATGGAATAACACGCATGTCCCCAAATCGAGAAATTAATAAGAAAGGGCTAAAGGTGCTTATCATTAATGACCATGACACCAAAATTACAAGCTTCGAACTCTGTGGGAACCTTAAACATCTGGTGGTTTGGGTCATAAACAGACCTGTCTTGGTCATCACCCTGGAGGGCCCAAAGAGCCCTGAGATCTCTGCTGCTCCTTACCTATAGATGGTGTACTCATTGGGTGGAGCTGAGAGTGGGTCACTTCCGTTCCTCTTGCCAAAGTTACCAGTCCACAGAACGGTGTCATTGAAAATCACAATGGCCGACAAAGAGGGAAGACTGGCAGGGTTGACACTATGGCGCAGCAGTGTGTCCACCTGAGTGAGAACATAACACTTATCAGCATTTATATTGACTACTATAGCTGTAAACAGTACAACACAGAAGTTCTTACTGAGAAACAAATTGATTCACAGACCCTCCCTCAAGGTTGTGCTGTAGTTTCAGTAAACAAGAAGTTCAAAAGTTACCCTGGGTCTTGAAGACTTGAAGGCACTCTGTGGACAAAAATAGCCTGCTTCCAATTGATTTGTTGTGATGGAGGTGCATTTACTGTCAAGGCTTGGCAGATGCTGAATGAACTGTCATTATTCTTAACTCTCACAGGTAATAGGCAGATGGAATGACTTTATACAATGGACACTGTTAGAATGACAATCTATCTTATAAATTTATGTCACTCTGTTTTTACGAGGGCCAAAGCAGTTATGTCTTACTGTATGCAGTGATATTCGGTTCTGTATAAAAGATACAAGGATTTCCAATGTGTTTTTGTCATTCTGAGGACATTGTTAATAGGATTCCAATGGGAATTTCAACACTCATCCATAACAGACCGCTGCTTGTATGGATATGTGCTGGGACTGGTAGGACTGCTCTCCTCTCCTCTCTGTTTTGTCGAATGCCCTTCATTGTCTGAATGATGTTAATGCAGGAACGGGTCACGTTCAACTCAGTTGCCAGAGGCTTCTTTATCAAACATACTTTCTTTATCAAACATATTTATCTGCATGGTAATACATCCCCTCTGGGGGAGTGTGTCCAGGCAATTGTTATAAAGCATTATCACTAACACATGTTCCCTGTTCTTAGTTGGACATGAGCAGAATGTGCATAGTCTGGATGGCCCAAGGGAGCTCTTACCTTCTCCAGTGCCTCTTTCAGGGTAGGGATAGGGTGTTCCAGGGGGAGAGGCTCAGGGAAGCGTGGGCACATCCGTTCTGATTTGGCATTGCCTCCCATGCCTTCATCTGGCAGAGAGACAGAGAGAGATATAGGAAGAAGGGGAAATTAAGCAAGGGGAAAGAAGTTGGGTGTTTATTGATATTCACACTTGATATTGCTGCAGTAATATGTATGACATGACAAGGAGACGAACACAATGTGCCATAATGGACTTGCACAGGACTTCATTAATCACCTGAGTTCCCATGTCTGTAGGCTACCACAAACGATCCAATTTGCACACAAACACATACAGTCATAAAGGTGATTCATTCTGAACGCACTGTGAATTTTGAATGAGCAGTTAAAGGAGACTTTAATTTAACTAACTACACAGGATTAGATCTAGCCTGTATAGTTCCTAGAGTTACTATAGTAAATAGGCCCATAGGCACACCTTATGTTCATGAATTCAGATCCATTATCAGATCATACAGGCATGGTGTGCTACAGAAAATAATAAATGTGTAAGAAGCAGCACTTCAGTTAAGGAATGCAACTAAAGCCTCTGTAGCTCAATTGGTAGAGCATGGCGCTTGTAACGCCAGGGTAGTGGGTTCGATCCCCAGGACCACCCATACGTAAAAATGTATGCACACATGACTGTAAGTCTGCTAAATGGCATATTATTGTTATTATTAAAGCCTATGGGTAAAGATGACTACTAAATTTGGAAAATAAAACCATTGACTACAGTTTATATTTCCCTATAATATTTAATTTCTCAAATGGTTGCAACAGAAACATTTAGCAAATAAGAACTTAAGGGGAAAGTACAGTAGCATCTCTCACTGTAGTCAGAAATAGGTGGACAATTTAAAAACACTTTCAGCACTACAGTAGGTTGCTTCACTGTGAGCACTGTTGTGGGAAATTATTTGATGAATTATTTCCTGTATTTGATTTTGTTATCTACTGTAACGTTGATTATGAATAGTATGTAATAAAAAAAATTACATGAGCGGAGAGATGCTGACAGAGGCATTCCCCTCATTTGGGGAAACCAGAGTTAACCATTTATTTTAAGTACCCTGTTAAAACCCCATGCTAACATAGTGTTAATGCCATGTTTGGTTAGGTAATTTTCTCCTGTTAGTCTATAATTATCTGTTATAACTGACTACTGATGATCATTTTACTTTGACCTTTGACCCGTTTAAGTGCTGATGTTATACTTTCTTGTAATCTCTGCCGACAGTGGCTAAGCCCAATGTCTGAGTTGGAGTCTTTAAGAAGATTTAGTGACCTTGTTGACAGAACAGTTGTCTGCCGATAGTGGAGGCCAGTTAGACATTTTTCTGTGATCTAATGTTGGATGTTGTCTCCCTGTTGCAACTTGTATCAAACCAGAATGATTTTGATTGACTTCATCCACGACTGCTCTTCTCTTTTATTCACCTGAAAATCCCTATTACAAGCACTGTCTGTCTTTAGCATTCTAATCCATTGACCACCCACAGAAAACAGCTAATAGGATTTCACAATCACACCTCAGACAACTGGCAATGACTTGCTGGGAAGCACTTCAATGTTTCCTCATGTGGCTCCCAGGCAAATAAATCCATTCTGAAGGGAGAACTGCCATGTGTTGGAACTTTTCTCTATTTCCCTAAAACAAATTGACTTTCTACCTCATTTCTAGAGCTTTCTTTGTGTGCAAAATCTCCTATTGCTCAATGAAGTTCTGGATCCATGCGTGTTAATAGAAGAGATGAAGAGATGCTAGAAAGAGGAACAGAACCGGATTGAGGAGCTCCACCCTCTCTCTTTGCAAGTTACGTGTGAAATATCTTATCCTACACATCCCATTCCTTCCCGACAGATTCTATGGTACCAGTTATGTTTATGTAGATCTGTCCACGAGAGATTACATGTAAAGATACTGTTACCAGTAATTATAAGCTCTGAGTAGTCTTAACCCATTTACCTCAGACACAATGTAACAAAACCACAAGAGATTAACAGGCTGAAATGTTTAGAGTGAATTGATGCTGTTCACTGCATAGTATGTTGAATTGCTTCATGTCCTGTCATTATTTTCAGTTTGGTACTAATGTTTTCATGGACAAGGTTGAATGCAGGGAGTGAGCCTTACCTGGCAGTAACTTTGGCAGCTGGTACTGCCAGAGGAAACATCCTGTCATGACCAGGGAGAGCAACAGGAAGAACACCATGCCCAGCTGAGTCCATTTCACCTTCATCTTCTTGGTCTTGGTGAGCCCCTCAATAGCAGCAGCAGGGGCAGGCTGAAACACGCGCGCGCGCGCACACACACACACACACGATTAGGGATGGGCCTCTAGAATGCTAAGAGATCAACAGGAATGAGGGGTTTGATAATGTGGCATATGTCATTTTAGAGCATTATTGAGCTAAAATGCTGAATTACAGTACATACATTACTTAGATAACAATCACAATCAAGACTACTTACCACTTGACAAGGATGCATTAAGGGCAGGCAGAAGATAATACAACTCTCTCTCTCTCACTGACTAAGCATCTGAACAATCCACTCAGCGCCATGGACCACCAACTCCCAAACTCCAATAGTGGTTGATGTTCTTTCCTGAAGGTTTCACTGTACAGGGTTATGGCACAGACAAGGCTTCCCATTCCCACATCTCCTCACTGGCTGTGCCATAATCCTGGCCATCAGCACTCCTCTGACAATTAAATTTCCTCTCTGACAACCATGGGCCTCTGACATCATAATCCCCAGATTTACTCCACTAAAGCCCATCCGAGCGGGAGGGGAAATCTTAATCTCTAATCCCCCATGAATCAATTCACTTCAGTCCAGTTTCCACCACTGCTGGGACCTAGCAAGTAGTCCCGGCTGAAAAACATAGCGTCTACTCAACCCTTACAGGAGGAGGGTATGTTTGCCTCATGAGGCACCTTAGCGGGAACATGAGTTGACAAGGGAAGTCACATAGGCACACCGAGTTAGAGCGCTCCAGTGGATTAAGATGTTAAGAGAAGGACACTGACTGAGACAGTTTAGGAAGGAATACAACTTCACTCTCTCTATTCCATAGCTAACAGTCACACAACACACACACTGTACACATAGGCTGCATCCTGTACAGTACAACTATGCATAGTGTATGGGTGTATGTTCCATGGCTATGATTCATTCATTGATTAATTGATCTCTTTGTGTGGCTCAGGCCTAAGGTCATTGTATCAGGTGTCAGTGGGTCGATCGTGGGCCTGAGCCTGCTGGGGGCGAACAAGGAGTTCCTAGGATTACTGTCAGGCTTGGCTGCAGGGAGCGGTAACCACCACTATATAAAGACTAAATACAGACACCTTGCTCTAGGAAATGAATGGAGCATGTGTTTGCATTAGATTTAGCTCAATAATCAATAAAATAATTACTGTTTTTGTAATCAATTAGGAATGGTTGTATCTTTTTACATTTCTTTATTATTTAAAAACATTTTAAATGTTTAAACAGGGATTGGCTGTTTTCATTAAATAGATAATTGTGTTTTGATTAAACAGGGAATGGGCTTCTCAAGGTTCAGAAAAAAAGTAGAACTTACTCAGCGATTACCATCTCTCATAGATATTACTCAAGTTTCATCACATTTTATGTCAATCATTTAATCTTTCTATATTCAGCTAGAATGATAGCTGTTTTGTTAGCTGTGGAAGGCTGTGAACTATTGTAGGCCCAGTAATGTATTCTGATATACATAGGACTAATGATGCTACAGAAAGAGAGAACGTGTGAAAGTAAGATGGAGTTGATCCTGATTGCATAACCAGCTGATGGCTGTGGAACACTCAGCTGTCCCATTTGGACGGAGTCAGGAGATGTGGTGAGTAATCGGCGCAGAATCAGATAAGCTCCAGCGCAGACATACAAATGACCTGCAGTCTCCCACTGAGGAAGTGTGTGTGTAGTGTTGTATATAAGCCTTTACCTGCTGTGGCTGAACTCCATCCAAAGATGTCTCTCTCAGCACTTTGCTGCCTGTCTTCCCCATGACTCATGAGCACATTCTGAAACATGAAAAGACGTCTACATCAGACAGGAATTTTTTTTCTCGCTTTAGCAGAGAGATGTACCGAAAAGACATCACTATAGGTTTAATATCTGTATGATATAAGTATATTAATAGAGGTGTATGGCAAGACATCTAGAGGATCATTTTTTATAAATCATTCAAGACATCCAATAAAAAACACTTGCAGATAGTCAATAGCAAACTGGGCGGATGGAATATCAAACAAATAGATGAACACATCAAATAAGATAGTAAGGCAGGCCTTATATAAGTGAACTATGAAGCCATCTCGTCTAGACTTCCTCTTTTTTCTGAAAGTGTGAAGAGTGCAGGTGTGCAGTCTGGCACAAGAAGGTTATAATTAAAGCTGACTAAGTCACTCCTGAAATTACACCAAGCTGTCAAGCATAAAGAAATAACTAAACTGGTGTCTCAGCATAGAACAGCTCCCACCATAGATAAACACCCCTGTTGGTAGTAATGCAATTCACAGGTTTCCTGATAACGCCGTAGGCCGACCCCTCCTTCATCCATTTCCTCTTATGGCCTTGGATTGTCTTCTTAATAATATAATATGCCGTTTAGCAGACGCTTTTATCCAAAGCAACTTACAGTCATGTGTGCATACATTTTTACGTATGGGTGGTCCCGGGGATCGAACCCACTACCCTGGCGTTACAAGTGCCATGCTCTACCAATTGAGCTACAGAGGACCACATGAAGCCATTGAGACCATTTATCTGAGGTAAAGCTGGTAAATTGCATGCTTGAGTGCTAGCCAGCAGCACTATTATTTTCAAGCTAATATTTTTAAGTGGAACTCAGGGCTCACAAGAATTCAACAACATTATGACTTTGAGGTACATGTCAAATGACATAATATAGCTTCATGTATTGGGTGATTGGGTGATATTGTCATTGTGTGTTAGACAAAACTATGTTTTTCCAACCCTGGATATGGACAGTTCGAGATTCTTAATTAATTTGCGAAACAAGCTTGCAACCTTTTGTACGTTAATATTTGTTGAATCCTGTAAATTATGTTGACCTGTTTAAGATGCATGGTCTTCAAAGGTTACAAAAGCCAGGTTACTTCCTGTTTGCCTCACACATCAACGACGTTGAGGTGGGCTGGGGTGATTCACATTGGAATAGATTATGTTACATGCGCAAACAAAGGGCTTTTGGTACATCTTGTGCTTGCCAATAAAACACATAGCCTACAGTTGAAATCTTTTGCATATTGACTTGTCTCCCATTCTTGTTGATTCTGTTGATCCAAATCCTGTTGATGGCCAATATTGGTTTACTTATACTGTCCAGGCATTGCTAGAAATGTTTTCCCCTCCAATGCTTTTAGTCAGCAGTATTAAGGTGTCCAATCATTTATCCCTTAGATGTTCTCAGCTCATATCCAAAGGGATAATTTCTTGCAGATCTGGTTTAGTTATAGTTGCATAATGTTTATGCAAATTATAATGCAGGCAGGTTTGGCAGCAGCCAAGTTACAGTATATGATATAATAATATAATAATAATAATAATAATTTCACCTTTATTTAACCAGGTAAGCCAGTTGAGAACAAGTTCTCATTTACAACTGCGACCTGGCCAAGATAAAGCAAAGCAGTGCGATAAAAAACAACAACACAGAGTTACATATGGGGTAAACAAAACATAAAGTCAAAAATACAACAGAATATATATATATACAGTGTGTGCAAATGTAGCAAGTTATGTGGTCCTCTGTAGCTCAATTGATAGAGCATGGCGCTTGTAACGCCAGGGTAGTCGGGTCGATCCCCAGGACCACCCATACGTAAAAACGTTTGCACACATGACTGTAAGTCGCTTTGGATAAAAGTGTCTGCTAAATGGCATATTATTATGGAGGTAAGGCAATAAATAGGCCATAGTGCAAAATAATTACAATTTAGTATTAACACTGGAATGATAGATGTGCAAGAGATTATGTACAAATAGAGATACTGGGGTGCAAAATAAATAACAATATGGGGATGAGGTAGTTGGGTGGGCTAATTTCAGATGGGCTGTGTACAGGTGCAGTGATCGGTAAGGTGCTCTGACAACTGATGCTTAAAGTTAGTGAGGGAGATAAGCGTCAGACATTTTTGCAGTTCGTTCCAGTCATTGATGTAACATCAACAACATCATGTTTTCAACAACAATAATAAACAAACATTTTTAAAGAATAAATTCAGATTTAAAAGTAACATTTCAGATACTGTCGTTTATTTGACTGACGTCATTCACAGATCATGCTTTGCATTCAAAGTGAATATAACTGAGTAAAGCACTGCTCACTGATAAGCTTAGACCTACTCCTACAAGAAAATATGATAAACGGGACATGTGCACGCCATCTCACATAATCTTATTCATGCTCTTGAAAAGATGAGCCCATTAAGGAGCACATGCAGAAGCCATGTGAAGGGATGTTTACAAAGGAATGCTAAGCATTTTCTCTTCTGCTGCCAAGTGTTTTGATGTACCCACTAATAATAACTATGAATTCATACTATAGTAATGCCAGTGATGTCTTATTAACCATCTATAACTGAGTCACTGACTAGCTAGTGTAACATTTCAGATTTGTGATAGCAAAAGTAGGTTGTATAGTGTGTTCTATTTCTGTCAACACTTTTGATCATTATTAATCTACTCACATACTTCTTTTAATATTTTTTGCTTGTCTTGGGATTTGCATTTTCTCCTGGAAAAATGTATCTGACAATCCACATTAAATTATTTGAAACGTTGGACACCCGTCAATGTGCTCATTTGGCAAACATGACTACACCAGAATTCAAAATGTATTTTTTTAAATTCAGACTGGCTATCTGATGAACTTTGAATCAAATGTTTATCTAAATGTATTCAAGTCTGTGTGCACTTGCATAGAATGCAACCTAAATGCTCAAGACAGTATAATGATAATCTCTAACAATTGTTGAGCAATAGTTTACTGTGTGAACCATGATTATGAACCACTAAGAACAACTGCACTGACTGAAATGCTCTGTACAGTGTTTATTTTTTCAGTATTTGTTTTAGACTAAAAATACTTTTCCAGTTATAGAGGGCTACTATGTCTACATCATATATGTAATCATGTATAGCATGCATCAAACATAACATTATATTTATTGCATAAATATCCATCTAGTACATTCAATAAATGGACAACATTTTGTAAAAATAATAGCATATATTTTTCTAGATTATGAAATATAACCAACCATAGCTCTTTTCACCAAACATTACGACAATAAACTTTTCTTGTCGTGAGACACCAATAACCTTAGGTAAAGTAGTTATTCTTGTCCGTAAAACATCAGAACCCATCAATTATCCATAAACTTACCACAAATCCTGATTATGGGTAGTAGGTCTTGCCCCTCTTTTACCAGAATGGAAATGTAAAATATCCTGTGCTGTTGCTCTGTGTGTGTTTTGAAGATCACTGCAGCATCCTGACAGATGTTGGTATCATGGCCATGGCTAAATCCTGCTTGTATCAAACCCAGGATCCTGGATTATCTGCCACCGCCATCAGCGACATCTGCCATGCCAGGAAAATGGGTGCCCCTGCAGTAGGAGAATGTGTGGGAGAGTTAGTGTGAGTGATTGTGCATGTGTTGTGTGTTTGCTGGTATATGTCTGTTTCAATAAGTAAGAAATAAAATGAGTTTGTAAGTGTGAGTTTTCGATGGCAGAAAAGTCCACCAAATAAAGGGACAATCTGGGCAACTAAAAAGGGTGGATGTCATGTCACTTTACCTGGCGAGGTCATGCCAGTCACTTAGGGAACTTGTATGGTCATAGAATACAAGGAGTCACAGGTGTAACAGTATCACTGTAATGTTATCTGTTGATCAGAATAAATATATATGTTGTAATTTCCCCCATTAATTAGACTGAACAGATGAATATGCAAACAGAAGTGTAATTCTTAGTTTTCATTTGGGGTCCAGAAAGTTCATGTTGAAGGAACATTTTAGAAAGTCTGTGGTTTATGTGGATTGGATTAGTGTTAGTCACAACAAACAAGCACACTGGCAGTAGCTACTCGCGTCATCCAGAAACTAGAACTGACCGATGATGTTTCTCTTTTTAGTTATATGCAAGACCTGACCTATTTATCCCTGTTGCTATGATTTTTGGTTGGATAAGAATACGAAAGACATCTGGGTAATGCTTTACATTAAGTTGCCCTTATTACTATGTAACTACACAGTAATAACTGTAAAAACATAGTAGTTA